GAATTCACAATATTCAAATGATTTCATAGATTTTTGGTTCATATGTAAAAAAAAAACTAAAACATTTCAATTACTATTTTATAATTCTTTTATCATACATGTATGCTTTTTATAAATGTCTCACTTACTTATTGTGTGTAGTAGTAAAATTGACATGTAGTATTGAGAACAATATATTTATATAAATCAGGGCGAGGAAGATAGTTAAAAGGGAGTGTTGAAAGGTCGTAGACTGAAGCCCAGCGTAGTACGTGATTCTTACTCACCTCAGTTTTTACTGAGAAATTCTGGTATGTAATAACGAGAAATAAGCTTGATACCTGAAATAACTGCAAATAACTGCAAAAGTATTTTTTGGTCACCTGGAGATAATAAATACCGTATTTAGGTTAGATGATGACCTAAGGCCACAATCTTACGAGAATTGGTGTGTTGTGTCACCAAAAACCCCTTAAAAAGTCATGACTTTTAAATAGTTTTATTTTGTTTTATTGTTTATAACTTTAATTAATTATGTTTACACGTCATATTTGAGGAAAACTATTCATTCAACTAAATTACTTCGCAAATGACGCTACATAAACTGTAACTACTGTTACTAATAATTTGATGTCAGTAAACAGTACAACAGTGTAAATACTTGCATATTAAAATGCAATTTGTATAAGGCCATTCTTGGAAGTTAACACAAAATAATTCATTATTGTTAGTAGCAAATGAATCACTTTGCTATAATCGAATGCATATAAAACCCAATTTCTTTATTAACATTGTACCTTAACAAGAATAATAGAATTTCCCATAATAGAATATCAAAGATTCGAAGATTTTATTAGGCCATTAAGTTTGTACAATACGCTACGTCAAAGTACAATAAAAATTCAATAACACTAAATATAAAAAGGAAAACAAACCAAACAAAACTGCAAATCCAAACAGCAAACCATGCAAAGGTAAATAAAAATTAGGCATACCTTTTTATCATCGGATCCATGCACTACATGATTTTCAACCTTTTAAGGCCTCAAAATAATCGTCACATTTAAAGAATGGATTTTTTAATAGCCAACCCTTTAACACTTTCATAAACTTCAATTTTGGCAAGTTTCTAATGCTAACAGGCAGAGCATTGAAACATTTGAAACCTGAAACAGGGGAAACACTTTTGACTTTTACTTAGCCTATTGCTATGAGTATGTACATCATTACAAGTTCTAGTGCTATACGGATGGATGTCTCTATTGAAAATAAGATAATTTTACATCGATTTGATAGCTTCCAAACACTGGTAAATATATAAATTGATGACAGTCATGATCTGCATATCAACAAACGATGTTCTACAATGTGCTCTAAAAGGCAAATTACACATCACACGAATTGCTCTTTTTTGTAGCACGAGGACCTTCTGAACCTGTGGGGAGTGACCCCAAAGCCTGGTTCCATACACAGCGTGTGACTGAAAAAAAAGAGAAAAATGCTAGTCTCACAAAGTCAGGAGGCAATTCAGATGTTAATTTCTTAGTTATCGTTGGACTGTGAGCAAATCTAAATGTAGATGGACAAAAAATATTTTATCAATCATAATATCAATTATATAAATTTTTAAGATGGGGACACTTCTATGTGCGTATTTTAACCCAAATATGAGTATATGAGTGGTCTTGTTAGTGACTAAGGCCAACATGTTCCTTAGATACAGCTGTTAATAGCCCAAACAGCCAATGGCAACGAAGGGACCTACGGTTTATAGTGGAATCCGAACCAAATTTTCCCTCGTAATCATTAGGATAGTACTGCAGATAGTCGTAGTACAGACTAGTTAATCCACACCAGGGAGCATCACATCCACAGTGCATGTCTATAAATATTACATTTGCCACAAATTTCATCAGCGTAAAATGTACAACTTAAATATGCTTTGTACGTTAAACACTTGTATCAGCACTATATCAAACAATTAATTATCTTACACTAAGACAAATAATTGTCATATACAATGGAAGGCTTAACAATAGAGCTTGGGCCTTGTTTGGTTTGGTAAAATAAAGTGAAGCTTTCGTGTGTTTGTAGAAACATGGTTTCCTCATTTATTGTCTTTGTTTCCTCTAAATAAATAAATCTCTAATTATATTTTTAAAGTATCAGATTATTACATTCGACATTCATTCGGTTTTCTATATTATTAAAAATGAAAACATCATAACATCAATGTCTATTATTTTTAAATATTTATGTAAAAAATAAACATTATGAAAATAGTTTACTTAATTAATACATTTTAGTATAACGGTAAAGCGTTATTCTCTTGTTTAATACTTGATCAAATGTCCATCATTACGATACGCAATTAAAACTTGATCTTAAGATAGCGGAACGAGTTCCTCCAATTATTACAGTTCCAGCTTGAGTTCATTTTAACTTGTAATTGCACTAAGACTAAAGGAGTTGTATGGCACAGTTGTTAAAAATACAACTTTACAATGTTATAACGTGTAATACTGTACTAGTAATATATTGATGTTCACAAACAAAGTATTTACCTAATTTTATCATAAGTAGTTTAAATTCATTAATTTATAATAAAATTAATCCAAACAGTTTTAAGTAGAAATTATTGACATAAAGTACTCCTTATTTAAAATTGCCATTGGAAATTTCTAACATAGTTCGGTAAACTGGCAAGTGAACCAACTGTAAAATTAAATTAAAATATACGAGCTGTTGGCCCGTCCTACGTACGGGAATCGAGTAGTCAATTAAAACGGAATAGTTCAGAACATCTAGTTTACATGCACAGTGACAAATTCTGGCAGTTTTAATGGGGGCCAACTGCCCCTAAAACAACATAATTAACAATTAATTGTTATTTTTTAGTTGTTGACCTTATTAACAAATGTTACGTGACTACCTATTTCTTCCATCCTATTATGTACCTAAAATATAGCGATATGCATTTTAAATTCGATAATTTTACCATCAAATAGCAGTTGCGTCGATTTGAAAAGACTTGAAGTGAGATTGGAGACCGATTCACACACACTGGTATTGAGTAGAGTTGCTACAATTGCATATACCTCTTATATATGTACTTACCGCACCTTTACCTCCGTGACCACAGACTGACACCTTATGAGGATTCTGGCCACCCATTCTCTTCCATCCCCTGTCTCTTCTAATTTAGATCCCGGCCTGAGGATGTATTTCATAACTTGGTCTTTCCACTTAATTCTTGGTCTTTTAAGTGGTCTTTTTATCTTGTGGTACTATGGAATATACTTTAAACAATTGATTTATCTCCTATCCACCACGCATAGCCTGCCCATCCAAGCCTTTTACTTCTGGAAATCACCCCTATATCTGGGTGTTTACACATTTCTCTTAGCTCTCTGTTTGTTTTTATCTTGACCTCCGTTATCTTGAACTGGTACTACGGGGAGAGTTCAAGGTGTATAGCAGCTTTACCCAATGAAGGACATTATGGTAGTACCACATAGTAGTAGTACATTAGTGGTAGTACCACTTGCTTTGCTCAATAAAGGAATTTTATGATAATTATGGAAATTAACATGTACAATTCACTATTGTATTAACACTATTGTATTTCTTAACGAATGAACAATAACGAATATTGTATTGTATTGTATTTTATTGTATTATAGTTAAGGTATGGTATGAGTCAACTTTGGTTTCTACTGCACCTTGCAGCTCATTGGACAGTTTTATAGAGACCTATTACACCAATTGACGCTTTCATTACTAACCAAAATTATAGTATGACTAACATACATTCGGACATACAGAAAAAGAAGTATCAACACGTAAACCACTTATATCTTAAACGATTAAGCAATACATTTCTGAAAAAAGATTTCCCAAATATGAGATGAAATTTCCATGGCATAAACTTAATAACTTACTTACACAGTTTGCATTTACGACAAAACTGTTGGAGATGTATAGATAAAATACCTCATTTCCTGATAAAGCAGATCCTTCACGGTGGAAAAAAACTAAATTTTAAAGTGAAATAGTATGCAGGCCAACACACCGAAGAACAATATTTTTGTATACAAACAACTTGTAACATAAACATTTTAATGACAGTTTATAAACAGCTGTTTAACCAGCACTGAAAATACTTTGAATTGCTAGCGTCGGCTGCTAGACTTTTTAAAAATTGAAACTTAATTTCTAAATAACTGGAACCCTAAATTAAAATTATGGCTTCGACATTCCCTGGTTCTCAAAATTATCTTTCTTTCAACACAAAAGTCATGAAAATCGGTCAAGTGGTTGATTCAGATTCGTGAAATAAAAAAACCCTGTTTTGTTTTAATATTATAGAAGATTAATTTGACTAGTTATGTAAAAATTATAGGTTAAACAAAATACAATTTAATCAAACTTCTATTTAAGTTGCACAAAAACCAGCCGAGAAACCTAATGTTGTATCCAACGATAAAATTATTAACAGAGGATTGGAGATGCGTTTGTTTATTTATGTGGGTTCGGATACATCGGGACATGATATGACACCTAGGAAAAAATACATAGGCCTTTGATGGAATTTTTTGCCGAAGCTTTCTGGAAAGAAGTGACACCTTCCAACTACCCGACCAGTATTGCCTTGATACTCTGTTGGATTAGGTAAAAGAGTTTATGTGGGTGTTAACGTCATAAAGTTCATCACATTCATTCATGATGTAAGCATATTTATAAACGTAAAGTTGTGGTAGGGCTTGGTGCATTGATTGTAGTGTGATTGCAAAATAAAATAATCATAACACTTCTGCAAATATCTTGGACTCTTACAACACAAATTGTGAGTATATATCGCACGCATACAAGGTAACCAACCGGAAATTAACACCATACATGCGTGGAATTAGGAAGCGCCTGCATTGCATTGACCAACATACAGAGTTATGTGACTGAAGATGTATAAAACCCACCAGACTCTAGGTACCAGACACACTCGTCTGTAGACATCAGCGGAGATGAAGCGTCTTCTAGTTTTGTTGTTGGTGACTGCTGTCTTCGCCGAGGAGAAGAAGGTAGAAGAGAAGAAAGAGAACAAGAAGCATGACAAAAGAGGAATAGAAGACTTTGTGGATTACGAGTTCAGTGGTGGAGACTTTGGTGGACACGATTACGGAGGCCATGACTTCAGAAATCATCACCACCACGAGGTGAAGACTATCACGATAGAGAAGGAGGTGAAGGTGCCGTACCCGGTCCACGTGGAGAAGAAGGTACCGTACCCTGTCAAGGTGCACGTCGAGAGGCCGGTCCCCTACCCTGTGGAGAAACCTTACCCTGTGGCTGTGGAGAAGAAAGTGCCTTACCCGGTCAAGGAGTACATCCCTAAACCTTACCCTGTCGAGAAGAAGATACCTTACCCTGTGAAGGTGCCTGTGGTGAGGCCACTCCCCGTGCATATCCCCAAGCCTTACCCCGTCTACGTAGAGAAGAAGGTGCCCTACCCTGTAGAGAAACATATCCCTTACCCGGTCAAGGTGCATGTCCCCCGGCCTGTCCCCTATCACGTTCCTGTTGTCAAACACGTGCCTTACCCCGTCGAGAAGAAGGTTCCTTATCCCGTCAAGGTGCCAGTTGAGAAGCCAGTTCCCTACCCTGTGGAGAAGCCTTACCCCGTCTACGTAGAGAAGAAGGTTCCCTACCCGGTGGAGAAGGAGGTGCCGTATCCAGTCAAGGTTCCGGTTCACATCCCGGTCCATGTCCACGAGCATCATAAGCATGAGGAACATCACTTTGGAGAACATAATTTTAAAGGAGAGGGACATGGTCACAGCAGTTTTCACTTTGGAGGCTATGAACTATAAATAGTATCTAAGACATTGTAAATAATGAAAATGTGAATATGTATTTTGTACAGTTTGTATACATTAAATTGCCTTTAGGAACAAATAATACAATTTTACTTTTGATAACTGGTGTAATAAATTGAGTTACCGAATATCCTCCAACTGCCTATTGTATTTAATGCGTCTTCCAAAGGTGCTCAAAATACAGCTGACTGTGAATGGATATACAAAAATGTTTAGGTAAATATTATTTTAAATCTCCCTTTCATAGTATACACGTATACACAGATTATTTTTCATAACGCCGGTCTTAATTTATTTATCTGCAATCACTCACTAATATTTCAAACTACAAATTACTTACGCAGTTTGCATCCTATATTTAGAGAATGGTAGGTGTTATATCCCAGTTAAATGTTCAAAGCAAGTAGGTAATAGCATTGGCTATTGGATACAGAAGGTAATAGACACACTAGAGATTTTTTATATAAAAAATATTCAAAAGTTTCAAACATTCACCTCGAGTTGTTTGCTCATCCATGTTGCATCATATCTCTACTGAAGCACTTTGTGCATTTTGTTCATGACTGAATGTTGAAGTTTGACTTTTTTTATTTTCCAGGAACATTTGCTAAAGATTAATTTATTTTGTTGTTTTTGGAGGCATATTAACGTACATTTTCGATTGTCAGAATCGAGCATAATAAGTTTACTTTTTATGTTATATTAGGCTTCTTGGACATTTTATAATACGCATGAAAATGGCGGGAAGGTAACTTATTACAAAGGTTAAATGAAACGATCATAAAAACTTACCTAAGTCTCTTTACTCGAGTTGTAAATGCTGCTTTTACTACCTAAGTTGACATAGTTTTGATATTCATACTTCATAGAATAATGTGATTACTCTGATTATTTTACATGGTAACTAACTCCATTACAAAGAATGCTCTTTAAAAGTTAATATTTTGAGAGAAGTACTTAAGGATACTGGTAGCTTTTCTCTTAGAAAGAACCAAATGTAGTAACATTACAACATTCTAATAGAAGCTTGAACTACATGAAAAAGATGTTATGGGAAAATTGTGCTTTCAAGTGGACTGACGAATAAAGGTGATTATAACACAAAGCGAAGAGGGAAGCTTCTGGAATGATTCCAACATGGAATAACTATGGACTCCTGGAGTATCCTAAGTGGTCTTGACAGTCTGGAACTTATCAATATAAGGAACTATTTATTGAAACTTGGTTTCCAGCATCAACCTACGACAAGTTCCTCTATTGACCTTTAAACGTGAGGAGAAGGATGACTCAAACGTCTTATGGGTATTATGATTCATCAAATATATAGTATAAAATATGATACACATTATGGAGGAGTTACAAGAATGATATTACATTATTTTAGGATGTTAATTATAACATATTTTTCAGGAAGGTTGTTCTGGGTAATTATACCAAAAAAATTAACTATCCTGAAAAATATAATTATCCTGTTCTAGCTACCTACCCTGTATTATCAGGGTGTGTCAAAAAGAATCATCCGATTTTATACGTTTATAATTTTAAAACTAATGTTCATATGGACATTATATAAATTTTATATCAAAGGATAGCTAATAATTTTTTTTTACATACCAACAGGACGGTACCCCACCGTACTGGAATCTGCGTTTGAGAGATTTTTTTTAATAGTAGGATTTTTAAAAGATAGATCGACCGTCCTGGACCAAACGATTCCGCGTTACGTCCTGGCCTCCAAGGTCACCGGACATTACTGTTTGTGATTTATGTATAGGTGTTTGTAAAAGACACTGTTTCTATCCATCTAACATCTTTAATCTTGGTTTTTTGGCTACTCATAACATAAATAAAATTATACACAATTTACTACAAAAAATGTGGAGGTATATTTCGAGTTTACATCAAAACACATCTTCAGCCTCTGGTAACAACATATCAACCTCTAACAACATTGATTAAGCTGAAGAACCATTAGAGCAGTTGGAAATATCACTCAAGACATGCTAGCTAAGGTGTGGGACGAATTCGAGTATTGACTCTAGACATGATGAACAAAAAAAAAAAAAATAAATAAAAAAGGGTCATGTTGAGCATTTAAATGGTATGGTATGTAAAAAAACTTAGTGAGTTATCGTTATCATTGAATTTAAAATTAACTAAATGTCCATATGCTCATAAGTTTTGAAATTAAAAACCTATAAAATCGGTTGATTCTTTTTGAAACACCCTCTATTTATAAAAAAAGTTTATATAAAGTAATATGAAATCACTAGAAATCGCTCTCAAACTCAAACTGGCTATGAAATATTGCCTCCTTTGAGATAACTGTTTAGCTTTGGGACTGGCGACAAAGAGATTCCAAACAATACAAGTTTGGTTTTGTTTGGAATGGAACCTTCCCTGGAAACCCTTTTTCATCTATATAATAATATTGCAACCACTTAAACATCCATTGCAGTTTCTGTATCGTTGATGCAAAAAATATATTTTAAGATCGTCAAAACTAGCATATACAAATTATAATTATGAATATACAATGAAAATGTATTTTAAAAGTTTAAACTCAGCAATAAAAGACTAAAATGTTTAATATTATGAGGATAATCATTCTATTATACGTTTTTAAATCTGTGAGTTGTAGAAGAATAGTGAAAGTTTATTATTTACAAATATAGTATAACTAAAAACTGTGTAAATATTGAATTATGAATATCAATATTCCATACCATTTTATTGTTAATAATAATCAGTTTTAGGAATTTCAATAAAGTATGTTATTTATCAATGCCCCTACTTTAAAGAAGAAGTTAAGTTTTTGCCATCAAATATTCTGTAAACACACCTTACCTTAACAATTTCGGATTTTACACTAAGCGATAATCTTTTTCACCTTCATTTTAAAATAGGTTAAACAAGACCAACTGCAATAACTAAATATTTGCTAATGTAAGTAACTACAGAATATTTATTGTTTTACATCTTTTATTATAACCTCAAGTTATACGGCTTTGGAGATTGGAAGGCTACGTTTGACAAAGCAGACAACTTAATGAAGTCCAATTCAAACTTACCTCTTAGGTGCCAATTGATGTTCTGACAAAATTGTCAGAACAGACAGAACTTCTTGGACCATTACAAATCATAGGCAATCTATAGTTGGTTGTGATGGAAATCAAAAATATTTTAAAGCAATCGGTCAAAATATGTTTTTTAATGGGTCGTTTAAACACTTTGTATTGAAGTACTGCCAGTTTTAAATGTATTTTGGTGGTTTACTTGCATGTATTTTGGTAAACATATAGCACTTCTTGATATACTTGGTTAGTCTTTTTGATAACTGGCTATCCAATTGACTGTAAACATCCGTTATGCTTACTAGTGTTTTGAGTTGTTTTTATGAGTATGTTAACACTCTGTTTTAATGACACAAAAAGCACTTGGAGTTCCAAAGCAGAAGACAGGCTTAGATATTTGCATGTCGAAGTGTAGAGGCATAACTAACTGCCCGATTTGTCAATCACTCTTCTTTGCTTGTACTGTATTGACAAAATAAGTATTTTAGTTTTGTATTAATAGGTGAGTGATTTGGTTACAAATAGTTGTTTAAAACTTTTGTTATTTTTCTACTCAAAAGCCCATTTAAGAGGAGCTTCATCAACGGTTTCACCTAGGCTACACAATATAATTTTTGTTTGTTTATATGTTTCCATTCGGTGTTTTTATAGTAATAAAGTTTGCACCAATTAAACATCCGTAGCGAAACTTATGTGATCTTTGAACCTAAAATTTGAATTTTAATTGTTAACAAATATATAATCATCCTGAATTTTTATTTTTAGGCTAATTCCTCTCTTTTATGGAACACTTTCATTAGAACATCGAACATATCAATTTATCATACACGAAATATCATTGGTAAATCAACTAACTCACCTAAACCTTTTTGAGCATAAAACTTATATCCCAAGAACTTAAGAAAAGTTATTTTAGGTACCTGAATATTGATATATGAAACTCAACGTTTAAGTAAAATGGTTGATCTTTACCTTATATCAACAGAAACATTACCTATACTATTCGGACAATCGGGAGCAACACACAAAGATGAGGGATGGATGCATTATAGAGTGTCACGTGTAACGTAATGCCTATTATTTGATGTTGGCTTCTTGCCTCACTGTCTTTGAATAACCCAACACTGGTGAACTTTTACAATGGATAGCATGTTTCGCTTGTTAGACACACACTACTTTTGTAACTGATACGCAGGATTATTGTTATACAGGGTTAGTAAAAAGTGTGGAGACCCCCTGTTATTTTTTAACGGCCCATACTAGAAAAACTAAACTCTGCACAACTTTATTACATGTTATGAAGTACTTTTTGGGCATAACTGTCACTTGGTGTACATCCCCGAAATGGGGGGTTTTGGGGGAAACTAAAAAATTTCAAATACAAAGACCTATCGAGTGATCCCTCATTTTGAAGGTCCTGATAAAAGAAAATCAACAACGCAAACTAGAGGTCTTTATCTCAATCCAGTAAAAAATGGCAGCCAATTGAAATTCTCAGGAGTTCAATTTAACTTACAGCTTTCCAAGTCTGGAGACCTGCTGTAAAATTTTTTGTGGCTCGCTAGGAAAACTAAACTCTACACTCCTTTTTGGAATGTTATGAAGTACTTTTTTAAGCCTAATAGCCACTTGCTTACCAAACCCAAAATGGGGGATTTTGGGGGAAACACAAACGTTTTTTAAATGATAAGCCCCATCAAGTGACCCCTCATTTTGAAGGTCCTGGTAAACGAAAACTAACAACGCAAACTAGAGGTTTCTATCTCAATCCAGTAAAAAATGGAAGCTGATTGAAATCTTTAGAAATTGGAAATAACTTGCAATTTCATATTCAATTAGCTGCCATATTTTACTGTGTTAAGATAGATACCTATAGTTTGCGTTGTTACTTTTCTTTTATTATGACCTTCAAAATGAGGGGTCACTCGATGGGGCTTATCATTTAAAAATTTTGAGTTTCCCCCAAAATTCCCCATTTTGGGTTTGGGAACT